AAAGGAGAGCATTTATTAAGGCACAGGACCGAAAGGCAGGACTCCCCGCTTCTATTTTCAGCTCTGCGAGTGACAGAAGTTTGCCTTGGGAGATGGTTTTGGCTGAGACCGAGGGATGTGGAAAGCCGGAGTGAGGCATTTAGCCTCGTGTTTAGCCTTGTAAACGAATAGCTGGGTTACGAATCGCAGCAGGATTGCCCACACGAATAAAGATGATGGATGCTCCTGGCTAAGGGTGGGTGCAATATGCAGCACCTTTACCCCTGGAAAAGTCATGGCATTACCTGAGTTCTGCGTCTGATTCACTGGAAATTTAAACGGAGCTGTAAATACTCCCGTTCCGATTGTGAGGCTCTCTGAGTGTTAAAAGGCGTTTGAGAATCGCTCTTTCTCTTCGCTATGGGCATTCTTTCACCTTGGTTTATTGTCATTGCTGCATTTTCATGGCCTTTGATTTACATTGAAGTTTTAGGTAGTTGAAAGCCGGCGTTTTACCGAGACCACAGCAAATGGATTGCTGGGATTACAGATGGATTGCCCATAAGCATTTTTGGTTTTATTTTAGCACAATTATCAATGCCTTGTTTACATCCCCAAAGTAATTTTTAAACGTTTTAAGTTATTTTCCATTGTGCAGCTCTCAAATGCCTGTAGTGAAATACTCCCTCCTTCCCAGCTTTGCTCTTTCTAATTAACCAAACCTTTAATTCCCTTTCCCATTTCCAGGGAAAGCCAGCAAAGTATGTAACAAGCGCAGCAGCTTGTTACGAGCTTGTGCCACCTCCTTGTGTTGTATCCATCTCCATCGCATCCAGGAATCCAGTTGCTCCATCAGAGGAAGCCCAATGCTTTTGCATCTCAGCAAATGTTATCTGAATACAAGTATTTCAGGAATAAATTTAAAGGTCTTTTAAAAGTCTTATGTAAATGGATGTGTAGATTCCAAGGGGGTTTCTTTTGGAAGGCAAATTAGATGATTAACCTGAAAAGCTTTATGATGATTCCCTCACATGCTTTTACTGAGGAAAAAAAAAAAAGAAAAGGACAATCTTTCCTGTTTCAAGTCATTGTAAGTATTTTTTTTTTTTTTGAGGGGGAGTTCAGTCATTTCTTTTTCTATTGCTAACATGAAGCACGATGGATATGAAATCTGGATATGCAGATTTTGCGCTGGGATTTATAAATTGTAATAAGAAGCTTGTATGGGTGTTTTAAGTCAACATAACCTTTGGATGTAAAGCCAGACTTTGGAGGACTTTGGATTTATTAGTATTAGCAGCAGTCAGATTTGCACAGCTGAGTCTTGGCTGAGCTTAAAGGTCTCAGCAATAGGGATGGGGGATGCTGGAGCAGCAGGAGGTGCCGGGTGCCCGTGGGAACGGGTCGGGGGGGAGAAGATGCGGTGACGTGAGGTGTCACCGCTTCCTCTGTGCCATTGCTCAGTGGAGGAGACGGTGGTCCAAAACCACGCGCTGCCCTTTGCATCCTGGCCTGGGTTTGGGAGAGGCTGGTGTCGGCTCCAGCCGTGTGTTGCCTCGGACCCGGCTCCTGTCTGCTCGGGGGGAGGATATTGACTTCACCAAAGCTCTAAGCAGAATTGGCATCTTTAATGTAAAAATCATTAGATGGGACATAATTAACGTTCCTTGTTGCACATTAACATTACCCAGAGTCAGGCTGCAGACATAATTTGCTTTGATTAGATATGTAGCTTTAAAAATTAGATTCATCCCAACCTCTACACTATTTATTGGCCTGTTTCCCTTTCCCTAGCTATCCATTATTATCTGGAGCCCTTTCCTGCGCTGTCTGGGTAGATTAGGTGAAATTAAAGCAGAGTCGGCCTTCCTGTTCCCCACTGCCCTCCCTCTGTGGGAGCTCAGAGGATACACACCATCTCCGGTATGGACATACCTCTCAGCTTTCTTTGTCCACCCCCTATTCATAAGGGGGCTACAGATCCTTCGAAGCCTCCCAGGAGCCGTATAGACCGCACACCCCCTGAATTCCGTTTCCTTGCAGAAAGGTTTCATTCTCTTAGTCTTCTTTTGCATCCTCTCGGAGGTTCGTGGACCACAGGGTCAAGCAGAGCAGCTGTGCATCACTGTGGGGCTATTTTGGGATGCTTGAGCCGCTCACCCTGTGATGAGCCAGTGCCTGCATTCCTTGCTGGCAGGACCGGTCCTTACCCGGTGACTGAACATCCCCGTCGGCACTGAGACGGGGAGATTTTAGTCCACATGGGATGTGGCCCTCGAGCTCCTGTGCTTCATCAGAGAAGCTGGCGCCTTCCCCCTTGCCTCCCATGCTCGGCAGTGCTGTAATTAGTGCTGGCCCCGCAGGCGGCACCTACATCAGGTCTCCCCAGCAATGAGAGCCCTGGAGAGCACAGAGCCGAAATTACAGCAGCCCCGAGCTGGCCCCGGGGAGGTGAGGGGACAGAGAGACGGGACACCGCCGGGGAGGGGAAGGAGCAGCACCAGGACATCCCACTGCCCCAGCGGCACCCGGAGCTGCCCTGGCTCTCCCCACATCACCACTGCTTGTACACTCCACCCTTGGGATTCAAAGGGATAAAATTATTTTTCCTTCCTTTCTTCTACCCCATCGATAAATGTCTAGTGACAAATTTAACATACAGCAATCCTCTTTCTTGTGGCGTTTGTCCCTGCCAGGACTCAGCGTTTGAACATGGCTTCATTCTGGATCCATCCAAGGTGGTCACCTCACCCAACACGGTGTGCAAGTCGGCGTTGGTACTGCCGCTTTGCTTTCAGCACCTCCTCAGCCATTTTACTGTATTTTTATTGTCATAAAAATACAATCCGCGCTCTGCTGCTTTAATCAGAAAATGTAGGATTTTCTTTTCCCCCTGTTCCCTTTCTGTCATCTTTTTGTTGTCGTTGTTGTTGTTGTTTTCCTCTCCTCTCCTCTTTCTTCTTTCGCTGATTATTCATTTGTTTCTCACTCCCGGCACAGAAGTTTGCAGCAAAATCTGGGCCACCCCAGGAGCGGGGGCTGCCTGACCCACTTGTGGGGTCCTGCTCCCCCTGCCACACCGCAGGCACCAGCACGGTCCTGTCCCCAGGCCCAGGCAACCCGGAGGGAGGGAGGGAGGGATGGATGGATGGATGGATGGATGGATGGATGGATGGAGTCCGTTCGGCTGCAGGGCAGGTTGTGCTTTGCTTGTTTACAGCAAGGGTTTTAAAGGACCAGCTTGGGGAGAAAACCTTATTTTAAGTGAGACCCAGAGAAGACATTAAGGGACATCATAAGCGGGACTGCAAGGGATGTTTTCTTACTCTCTTGAGGTTGTTTCAAGTCTCTGGTTATCAGATCTGGTGTGAGAAGAGGAAATTTATAGAGAGAAATCAGGCAATTGTCCTTATCTGGTCTGCGCTGAATTCATCTTTTTGCTGCCAAAGCTCAGCCTTCGCTGAGATGGCTCTGGAGGTCCCTTACCTCCAGCAGGCAGGGACGTTTCAGCCTGTGGTTCAAATAAATTCTGCAAATCCCCTCTTTTTTACTTGTTACTGTGACATTAATGGTCATTGCAAAGCCACAACCACGACCCGGATGGCGTGAAACTCCTTTTCTTTATACAGCGAACAGGAACAGCACCCACCAGCTGAACCGTACCTTATAAATATTCGATGTGCAGTTTGTAGGAATGTGAGACAAAGCCAGACAGATGAATTATTTAATGCTTTTAAAGAATGCAGCTTTTAGTTTCTCCCTGCACTGGCCTACTTTATTGCATCAGTAAATAGGTCTTTAGTAAATTTATTTCCCTCCTTTTGTTTGAGTGAGCAGTGGGCATCACGGGCTGGTGGGGACCTTCTCCGTCCGTGAGCAGATGCCAGGACACCTCTGGAGCTGCGGACTGGGGCGTCGAGTGTCAGAAGAGAGTCGAGCTCCTGTCATTCATCTCATGCCTTTTGATTTGCATTAGTACATCCAGCATTCACGAAAAGCTCAGAGCGGGCAGTTTTGCCGGGGACAGCCTGCGAGTGACAGGCTGGTGTGGCACTTCTGAGGCTGCTTTTGGGACAACCCATAGAAGCAGATGTCAGTGACACCGGGACGCGTAGTGTAAGGGGGGTTTGGAGAATCTCCCCGATCGTTTTCGTGACAAATAAAAGAGGCTGAGTGAGCTGATGTCAAAGCTGGGTCCCCCAAGCTCCCGGCAGGATGGGGCTCCTGCGTGTCCGTGCGGGGCTGGGACAGAGAGGCCAGCCCAGCTCCCTCCCTGGTGGCAGGGTGTCTCTGCCGTCACACTGAGGTACTAACAGCACCCAGGTCGCATCCCTTGGGCAGGATCAAACCCCTGCTGTGTCCCATGTCTGCCCACAGAGGAGCAGAGTAACAACCATCAACCTCCCAGTGATGCTACAGCAAACCTGAAAGGTCGCCAGCCTTTCCCGGCAGTAAGGAGTTAATCGGGGGTACCTGCCTAAGAAAAGGACATTAAATCCACCCAAAAACATCTTACCCTGGCAAGGAAGGGAAATGCAGTCCCACTCCTGTGTAAGGGTTTGTGGGTGCGGATGCACAAGCAGAGCGTCGGGGGAGTTTCCGCTGGGTTTGCGTTCAGCGCGCGCTCCGGCTCAGCAGCCAGCGGGGACAGCTGCTACCGTGTGAATAAATGAGCGTTTCCCTCGTTTGCGTGCCTGTTGAAAGCCTGTTGCAGTGAGAGCTGACGGTTCCTTGGGGAAATAACATCAGAGGTGATCAGAGATACCAACTGGGAGGGGAATTGGATCGGCACTGGCCAAACTGAGAACAATCCAGTGGGTCCATCCACGCGTAACCCTTCCAGTTACTAAAACCAGGGGCTTTACTCTCCCCTTTTCACATGGCGGTGTAGCAGCAGCACAGTAAATACTCCTAGAGAAATATGTCCAAAAATGCTTTCTGGACTAGTTTGGTGAAGTGTGAAAAATTCCTACTCTGAAGACTGACGTGTTCTCTCTCTTTTTTATTTTTGTGTTATGTAGTTTTCTACTCGTTTTCTCCTGCCTGGTGCTGTCTGTCTTTTCGACCATTGATGAGTACCAGAACAGCTCAGAAGGGGCCCTTTACATCCTGGTAAGTGGGGGGGTTGCAAATGAAGCCATCAGTGTGGCATTAAAACAAAATCAAAACCACACAAAACACCGGGGTTGGGGGTGTTTGACTGGGGCAGGAATTCGAACTGTGGCTTGTGAGAAGGGGACCGCTGGGACCTGCAGGTAAGAAATAAGGAAAATGTGAAAAGGAGAAATCTGTATCGGGAATAAATTAAAATTATTTTTAACGATCCTTTAAAACCCTTCTTCCTAAACTTTTTCTTTTTTTTTTTTCCTGCATTTATCTTCAATTGCAAAACACAGTAGCCAGACTGATCCCAACTGAAAAGCAGTTTGATGTCCAGCAGCTCCCAATATTTAAAGCTGGGGATGCGCTGTGTCGGGAGCAGCCCGCCTTGCTGCCTCCTCTCCCACGCTAGAACACCCCTGCCACTATTTGATCCGACATCAAGCTGCAGAGTTTTGTTCCTTAAATCGCCCGGCATCCCTCGCGCTCACAGCGTGGCTTCTGCCATCGAGAGCCAGCAGAGATCCGGCGCGCACCGCCACGGCGCGGGGCTGCCGCATTCACGCGTCTCCTTTTGTCTTTCTTCCTCTTCCCCGGTCCCTTCCCATACCTCGACATCAAAAGGCGCTGCAGACTAATTAGGGCTTCGTCAGGTTTGACGCGTGAGAAGGCTGAGGGAAGCGCCGCTAGTAAGGAAACGGGAGGGAAGGGAGCGTGTGCAGGGTGTTCGGGTGGTGATGGAAAGAGCTGCGATGCGCAGCGTCGGCGTCATCGCTTGGCATCAAGGGATGGAGGATCTCCACTGCCCCTGCACCAGGTAGCCCAGCACACGGGGGCAACCGGTCCAGTTTTTTAGGGAAAAAGCTCAAATCTCCTGTGAAGAGTCCCAGGATGGAGCAGCCAGTGATTCCCATCTCTGGGCTTCCCCGAGCTGCTCAGCATTAACCTGGTCAAGTCCTGGTAGTCCTACTGATGGTAGGGAGATGTGCAGGTATTCGTCAATCTTGTGATGGGGGACACGGACACAATACAAGAAGGTGTAAAACTAGTTCATGGCTACAACATGCAGTACCTCTCACCACCCCAGGGGAGGGTGAGGGAAGACACAACAGCAAAGATCTGATAATCTTTCAAGCCATTTAGTGGCGCAGAGAGCTCTGTGATACATTTTCTGAGGTGCGCGGAGTTTAGGTTATGGGTTTGTACTTGATTCTGGAGCGCGGTCTCCATTGCGCTTCTTTCTCAACTAACGGCGTTGTCTCCCTCGCAGGAAATAGTCACCATCGTGGTGTTCGGGGTGGAATACTTCGTGAGGATCTGGGCGGCCGGCTGCTGCTGCCGATACCGGGGCTGGAGGGGAAGGTTAAAATTTGCCCGCAAGCCTTTCTGCGTCATCGGTAAGTCCTGCCTCCCTGCGTGGGATTTCCCAGACCCATACGGCTGTTGCAGGCTCTCTCTTGCACAGCGCTTCGGTTTCTCGCGTGCGTTTTGGGGGGGGATTCTTAGC